CTTTCTTTGGGCGGTGGGGTAGCCTGTTGGTTAAAGCGTTCGCTCGTCACGCCGAGGACCAGTTTTTGATTCCCCACATGGGGACAGTGTGTGAAGCCAATATATGGTGTCTCCCACCGTGATAAAGCTGAAATGTTGCTAAAACCGGCTTAAAACTAAACTCACCCACTTCCTTCCTTTTCTCCTCCATCATTTTCAACATTGAAGGTTTTGTACATCTGTAACCTTCACTTATATTTATGTCACATATTTTTAAGGATATGTAAGTCACTTTAGTATTAGGTTTGTGTGTTAGGTTCATGGAGTTCTCAGTATGTTGACAGTATTCCATTGAACCTCTGTGTTGGATACAGATGACAGTAAGGAATTCATTGGAACTTTCCTGATACGGCTTCATGACTATTATTCATCAGGCAGGGGAAGTGTGTCGTGTGTTGCTGTATCACGGAGAAGTGAACCAGGTGTTACCGTAACTCTTCTTGATGGTGGGCATCTTACACAGCACTGATGGGGAGCAGGTGAGGTGGGATGATGTGGGTGAGGCAGGTGAGTGGGGGATGTGGGGGATGTGGGTGAGTGGGAGGATGTAGGTGAGGCAGGTGGTGGGTGGATGTCGGTGAGGGGCGTCGGAGGTGTGGGGAGGTAGGTTACATAGGAGTGAGGTGGATGTCTGTGGATGGGGTAGGTAGGTTAGAGTGGGTGGATGAGGCACGGTGAGGGGGCATCCAGTGAGGTAGGTGCAGAGGTGTAGGTGGATGTCGGTGGGGGGTAGGTGAGGAAGTTGGTGGGTGGATGTCGGTGGGGGTAGGTAGGTTGGAAGAAGAGGTGGATGGATGTAGGTGAGGGGTGAGTCGGAGGTAGGTTGAGTGGGTGGATGATGTAGGTTGGGGCGTGAAGGTGGGAGGATATGGGGGGTAGGTGAGTGGATGGATGTCCGGAGGGTAGGTAGGTTAGTGGGTGGATGTCGGTGGGGGGCATCAATTGTGAGGTGCATAAGTGGGTGGATGTCGGTGGGGGTAGGTAAGTTGGTGGGTGGATGTCGGTGGGGGTAGAGTAGGTTAGTGGATGGATGTCGGTGAGGGGTAGGTAGGTTAGTGGGTGGATGTCAGTTGGGGCGTCAGTGGCAGGGTAGGTGAGTGGGTGGATGTCGGTGGGGGTGGGTAGGGTGGTGGGTGGATGTCGGGGAACAATCCCGAAATAAATAAATCGTCGATCAAAATCGAAATCATCATCATCCCGTCGATCAAATCCGAAACATCAAATAAAGTAAATCGTCGTCGATCCGTCGTAAATAAAATGTCATCGTCGATCAAATGCAGAACATCAATAAATCGTCGAAGATAAAGGCTATCAAGTAAAATAAATCGTCGAAAGATAAATAGAGCAATCAATAAAATGTCATCGAGATCAAATCAAAACTCATCATCATCATCGGCATCAATCATCGAAACATCAATCATCATCGTCGAACAATCAATGTCCAGTAAAGATAAAAACATCAATAAATCATCATCGAAAGAATATCAAATAAAACATCATCATCGGCGTCATCGTCGATAAATAAAACAATAAATAAAACCAATGCGTCGAACAAACCGAGCAAAATGTCGTCGATCTCGTCAAATGCAAACATCAATAAAATCGTATAAATCGTCGTTTCATCCAGGAAACAAATCATCGATATCCGGCGTCCTGGGTCATCCAGGCAATCATAAAATAAATCGTCGAAGAATCAAACCAGGCAATCAATAAAACCGTCAGAAAAATCGTAAAACATCAATAAAAATGCAATCATCCGGAAGATCATGCAATAAAATAAATCGTCGCGAATCAAATCAGGCTTATCGTCATCGTCGTCGAATCGTCGACAATAAATCGGTCGATCAAAGGCAATCGTCGAAGTCGTCATCGGTCACGATCATCAATCAAAATACATCGTCGTCGTCGATCAAATCAAAACATATCAAATCGAAATCAATCGTCGTCGATCGACTGCAATCAAATAAAATAAATCATCGGTAAATCGTCGAAACATCATCCATCATCGTCGGAAGATCTTCGAAAACATCAATAAAATTGTCGTCAAAGATCTCAAACCGAAACGGTAATCAATAATCCCGTCATCGAAGATCAAATCCGAAACTTTCTCGTCATCAATCATCCCAGCAATCAATAAAATGTCATCAATAGGCAATCGTCAAAATCATCGTCGAGACAATAAAATAAATTAAAGATATCAATAAAGCAATCAATCAAAATCGTCGTCGGAAAGATCCGTCCGGCTCATCACGTCATCATCGTCGTCGAAACGTCATCCGTGGTGGTCGAAGGATATCAAATCCGGGTTTCAAAGTAAAAATCGATAAATCAAATTAGATCAATAGATATTAGAACGTATCGATTGGTGGTGGATATCGGTGGAGTAGGGAGGTGAGTGATGGAAGTGGATGCGGTGAAGATTGGGGAGGTGGGTACGTACCGAATGGGAGGATGGGAATGAGTGGATGCCGGTGGGGAACATCATTGAAGCGGAAGTGCGGGCATCGGTAGGGTGAGGCCAGTGGGTGGATGTCGGGTAGGGCATCAATTGAGAAGTAGGTTAGGTGAGTGGGGGCGTCGGTGGGCGGTGGAGATAGGGCTTCAGTAAAGGTAGGTAAGGTGGGTGGATGTCAGGTAGGGGTATCCGGTAAAATTGCAGGGTGAATGGGGAGGATCAAAGTAAAGGGCAATCAAAATAGAAATGTGAAGTTGGTGGATGTCGGGTGGGCGTCGAAGTAAAATTAAAGTGGAATGTCGGGAGGATATCAGATGGGGAGCGTCAATAAAATTGAATGGAGGATGTCAGGTGGGGAGCTATTAAGGTATGGAATTAGGTGGATCAAAATTAAAGGGGCGTCAATCCGTGGAATTGATTGGAAGGATGTCAAAGGTAAAGGGCGTCAATAAAGTAGGTGGAAGTGGAGTGGATATCAGGTAAAGGGCGTCAGTAGAAGTGGTGAGTTGGAAGGATAACCGAATGCAGGAGCTGGTAAGGCCAGGTAAAGGTGCAGATGTCAAATGGGGCGATCAATAAAATGAAGTGGGATGTGGAATGCGTCAATAAAATGCGGTAGGTAGGTGATATATCCGGAATTGGGGCGGCTCCGTGGAATTGATGGAATGGGAGGATATCGGAGTACAGGGCGTCAGTAAAGGTAGGTAAAGTGGCAGGATATCAGGTAGATCTTCAATGCGGTAAAGTGGAATTGGATATCAAGGCCGAGACGTCAGTAAAGATGGAAGTGGAATCGAGGATCAAATTAAAGGGGCGGTCGAAGTAAAGAAATTGAATTAAGGTGGATGTGGGGCGTCGTGGAAGTATAAATGGAAGGATGTAGGGCGATTAGCAAAGTAAAGGTAGGTGATGGAAGTGGAGTGGATAAGGGTAGGGAGCGTCAATAAATTGCGGTGGAAGTGGATATCACCGACTTCGTCAGAATCGAGGTAAGGATTGGAGGATATCAGGTAGGGCTAGTAAAATGCAAATTAATGAAGTCGATTGATGTCGGTAGGGGCGTCAATAAAAGGTAGTGAATGAGGAGGATCATTGGAAGTAAAGGGGCGTCAATAAATTAAGGTGGAAATTCGTTCTGGATCAGGTAGGGCGTCGTGAGTAGGTGAATGGGGAAGGATGTCAGATGCGTCGTGAGATTGATGAAGTCGAATTAGAGGACGTCAGTGGGCGGTGGAGTAGGGATGGATAGGGCGATCAGTGGAGATGGAAGGATGGTGGGGCGTCAATGGTGGTGCGTGGAATCTGGGGATATCAGGTACGCGTCAGTAAAGGTAAAGTGAAGTGGAGTGGATGTCAGGTAGGGCGTCGAGTGGAGTAGGTGGAGTGGGTGGATGTCGGGTAAAGGCGTCAATAAAATTGGAATGGGAGGATGTCAGGTAAAGGGCGGCGTCAATAAAAGGCCAGTGGAAGTGGAATTGGATGTCAAGATGGGGCGTCGAAGTAGAGAATTGGGTAAGGTGGGTGGATGTGTCCGGGTAGGGCGTCAGTGAGGTGGAGTGAGTGTGGGGTTGTCAGGTGGGGCGTCCGGTGAGGGTAGGTGTGAATGGGAGGAGTCGGGTGGGGACGTCAGTGGGAGGCAGGTGAGTGGGAGGATGTGTGGGGTAGGGGCGTCGGTGGGGTGGGTGAGTGGGTGGATGTCGGGTAGGGCGTCAGTGAGGGTAGGTGAGGAGTGGGAGGGATGGCGGGGTAGGGGCGTCCAGTGAGGTGGGTGAGTTGGAGGATGTCGAATTGGGGCGTCGAGGTGAGGTGGAGTGAGTGGGAGGATGTGTGGGGTAGGGGCGTCAGTGAGGTGGGTGAATGGGAGGATGTCGTTAGGAGGGCGTCTGTGGGTGGATGACGTGAAACTTGAGACTACTCCATAAATAAATTAAGTCGGTCAGATCAAATTAAAGGCAATCAATAAAATCGTCGTCAGATATCAAACGATAAAATAAATTAAATCGTCGATCAAATGCTTATCAATAAAATAAAATCAAATTGAAGATCAAATCCGAACATCAAGTAAAGTAAAGTCGTCGTCGGAAAGAAATCAAATCAGGGGCAATCAATAAAATTAAAATTAAGTCGGGAGATAGATAAACGTCAGTAAAATTACGTCGTCGTCAGGAAACGTCAAAGTAAAATCCGGTGTCGGAAGGATATCAAATTAAGACAATCAATAAATCGTCGATCAAATTAAAGGCGTCGTCGGAAATCGTAAATTAAGATCGATGAAATAAAATAAATAAATTAAAGGAAGTCCGAACGTCGTCATAAATTAAATCCGGAAGATCAAATCCCGTCGTCGTCGATTAGATCAAATGCAATCAATAAAATCGTCGTCGTCGTCGGACATCAAATAAATATCGTCGAAGGATTAATGAACGGTATCAGGTGGTGGGAGGAGGGACGTCGGGTAGGGGCGTCCAGTGGGGAGTAGTTGAATATGGGAGGATGTCGAATTTAGGGGCGTCAGTGAGGTAGGTGGAGCCGGAGGATGTCGGGTAGAGGCGTCAGTGGTATGTGAATGGGAGGGATGTCGAATTGCAGGGGGCGTCCAGTGAGGTAGGTGAGTGGGAGGAAGTCGGGTAGGGGCGTCCAGTGAGGTAGGTGGAGTGGGAGGGGACGTCGGGTAGGGGCGTCGAGGTAGAGGTAGTTGAATGGGAGGTTATCGGGTGGGGGCGTCAGTGAGGTAAGGTGAGGTGGGAGGGATGTCAGGTAGGGGCTTCAGTGGGGGTAGGTGAGGTGGGGCGTCAGTGGGGGTAGGTGAGTGGGGGCGTCAGTGAGGTAGGTGAGTAAGGTACGTGTGGGTGGGAGGGATGTCGGGTGGGGGGCGTCAGTGGGAGGTAGGTGAGTGGGTGGATGTCGGGTAGGGGCGTCAGTAAGGTAGGTGAGTGGGAGGATGTCGGGTAGGGGCGTTCAGTAAGGTAGGTGAGTGGGTGGATGTCAGGTAGGGGCGTCAGTGAGGTAGGTGAATGGGAGGATGTCGGGTAGGGGCGTCAGTGAGGTAGGTGAGTGGGTGGATGTCGGGTAGGGGCGTCAGTGAGGTAGGTGAATGGGAGGATGTCGGGTAGGGGCGTCAGTGAGGTAGGTGAGTGGGAGGATGTCGGGTAGGGGCGTCAGTGAGGTAGGTGAGTGGGTGGATGTCAGGTAGGGGCGTCAGTAAGGTAGGTGAGTGGGAGGATGTGGGGGTAGGGGGCGTCAGTGAGGTAGGTGAGTGGGAGGGCGTCGGTGGAGTAGGTAAATGGGAGGATGTCGTTAGGGGCGTCTGTGGGTGGATGGCGTGAAACTTGAACCTCCCTCCTTAAATGTGCCTCACCCTACCTATGGGTAGAAATAATCCTGTGACTCTGTATAATTGTGATCATTGATTATGATCATGAGTCAAGAGTTATCTACATGGAGTTATCAGTGGTCTTGGTGTAGGTAACTATTCAATATAGTGACGACATTACGCCCACATCACTGACTACCTACAGTCCACCTCAAGGAACCCACGGACACTTGCTGGGCTTGAATGGCCATAAATAATGTTTGACCGTAATCTCCGTGATCCGGTTCTTCAGATACACAGTACATACGACGTTGTTGAGCGTGCTTTCTCAAAAGACAATTCCTTTCCGTAATCACCAAAATTCAGACATGTGTCGTTCCGACAAACTGACCTGAACTTCTGACGCGTGAATGTTCTTTACCACCGTACTATTCCAGCTTTATGGCAGCGGTCTGTAACACTGCAAAAACACAAGCTTGTAAATGTCTTGTAAAGATGAGATTTACAAGACATTTACAATTTTATACAGATGAGGTTTACAGGACATTTGCAAATTTGTATAAAAATGTCTACATTTACATGTTTGTAAATGTCTTGTAAAGATGAGATTTGGAAGACATATATAATTTTTCAAGATGACTGACTGACTGACTGAGTTTAGTTTTACGCCGCTTTTAGCAGTATTCCAGCAATATCACGGTGTGGGACACCAGAAATGGGACTCACACATCGTACCCATGTGGGGAATCGAACCCTGGTCTTCGGCATGACGAACCAACGCTTTAACCACTAGGCTACCCCACCGACCCTGTAAAAATGAGTGGACAATTTTGTTAACATGAGACTTACAAAAAATTTACAATTTTGTAAATATTAGCAATGGGAGATAAATAGTGTGTGATAGCAAATAATATTTCTGCATGGGGTAAGTGCAGTTTGTACTTACTGCTTTAGTACACAGATCATGAAACAAATATACCTAATACACCGGATGTGACAAGTCTAGATTTCCAGAAATGAAGAAAGTCTCTGTGCTGTTTTTAATAATTTTTATGGACATGATTTAGGAACCATTTTTCGGTTTAAAATGTTTTGAGATTGGATTACTTACATTTGCCCGAGCTATAATTAGTACTGAGCTCCTTGAATAGTGGATAAGCAGATGGGTAGACTAACAACTAGTCTCTGAAATGAACATATTTTACTGAAAAAAGTTCATAGTAAAAAAATAATAACATAATGAAAAGGAGCCCTCAGACTTCTTCATTTTCAGAAGCTGAGGAAATCTAGACTTGCCACATTTTCTAGACTTGCGTGGGCTTTCTTGGGTATATTTGCTTCAGGGTCTGTACGACAGACTAGCAGATGGGTTGAAATTGTTTCTGCTGAGCTGTCGGCTGGTTCGACATCTCGCGATGTAATTATCGTTATACCATCATGAAGAATAAATAAGCTGATTATGATTGGATGATAATTGAATAGTTGATTGAGTTCATCACTTGGACGATGAAGTGGATTCCGACTTACTGAAGTTGATTTACAGATAGAATCTATCAATGAGCTGTTCAATTCAGACTGTTTACAATCTAATACTTTCAGTATATAGGTTTCAGGATCTGTGCTATTTGTTGATCTTAGTCTCCGTCTGGCCTCATCAACAGTGTGCAACTTGCTCTCAATTACCTATTGTTGGTATTGTTAATTACCTATTGTTGGTATTGTTAATTGCCTATTGTTGGTATTGTTAATTGCCTATTGTTGGTATTGTTAATTACTTATTGTTGGTATTGTTGGTATTGTTAATTACCTATTGTTGGTATTGTTGGTATTGTTAATTGCCTATTGTTGGTATTGTTAATTACCTATTGTTGGTATTGTTAATTACCTATTGTTCGTTATATTATTTACCTATTGTTGGTATTGTTAATTACCTATTGTTGGTATTGTTAATTACCTATTGTTGGCATTGTTAACTACCTATTGTTCTTATTGTTAATTACCTATTGTTGGTATTGTTAATTACCTATTGTTGGTATTGTTAATTACCTATTGTTGGTTTAATTACCTATTGTTCGTATTGTTAATTGCCTATTGTTGGTATTGTTAATTACCTATTGTTGGTATTGCTAATTACCTATTGTTGGTATTGTTGGTATTGATTAATCACCTATTGTTGGTATTGTTAATTGCTTATTGTTGGTATTGTTAATTACCTATTGTTGGTATTGTTAATTACCTATTGTTGGTATTGTTTAATCACCTATTGTTGGTATTGTTAATTACCTATTGTTGGTATTGTTAATTACCTATTGTTGGTATTGTTTAATCACCTATTGTTGGTATTGTTAATTGCCTATTGTTGGTATTGTTGGTATTGTTTAATCACCTATTGTTGGTATTGTTAATATAGTAGAACATTTTCAGAAAAAATGTTTCCAATTTTTCTTGAAGTTTAAACCAGACAAGATAAAGAGGGAGGTAATGTCACTACAGCCAGAATATGGTGGCATTCAGTGTACCTGTTGTGGAACAAGTAATTGCAGCTCAGAAATTAGGATGGGTTAAAAGATTATTTACTAGTAAATCCAAGTGGTCAAACATATTTTTTGAAACTGTAGTGAATATAAATGTCATGACTTTGGCTGATAGTTCATATATTTATGAAAATATTGCTCCAAAATTCATAACTTTTTGGAAAGAGATATTGCTATTATGGAGCATATATTTGAACTGTTTTGACACTTAAGAAACAACTATAAAGGCATAATGAGCAAATCAGTTTGGTATAACAATTCCATAAACATTGATGTCACACCCATATATACTCATGCTAATAATGGTTGTCATCCCCTTCAATTTGTTTAATTGGAGAGGGTGTGTGTGGTGTGGGTGTGAGTTGTGTGGGGGTTGGGGTGGGGAGGGGGGTGACAACCATTATTGGCATGGGTATATATTGCACAGTGGCATAAAAAGGGTATAACATTTCTGAATGATTTTATTAATGAACATGGTAAAATATATGAATTTGATGAATTTGTTAAAACATATAGAATTAGAACCAATTTAATGACCTATCGAGAAATTAAACAAGCTATGCTGAGTTATTTACAAAACATTAATAGGAATCATTTAGTGAAAATTTCTCAAGGACCAATATTGCCATACAACATCTCAAAAATACACAATGAATCTGGATGTAAGGTACTTTATAAAATTCTGCATGAGCCTAATTTTACAAAACTGTGGCAGTGTTCCTTTATTTCTTATCAGATTTCCTCCTACAGTGCTATTCAAAGCTGGTGATGAAAATGGAAAATATTAAAGGAACACTTGTATTTTCCTGTGTTCCTTTATTTGTTTCTCTCAGTATATTTGATTTCCTTTATCTTGGGTGTGACTACAGTGACAGACGTATTTTATATTGATACATAAAAGATGAATGTGCAGACGTCGTTTCAAGCCTGTTAATGCCCGCATTAAATAGCAGGCGACTCAAGATTTGAACACTCTTCTCAAACTATTGGGGGCCGTCTGGTAGCCTAGTGGTTAAAGCGTTCGCTCGTCACGCCGGAGACCCTGGTTCGATTCCTCACATGGGTACAATGTGTGAAGCCCATTTCTGGTGTCCCCCGCCGTGATATTGCTGGAATGTTAGTAAAGACGGCGTTAAACCATACTCACTACACTCAAGCTATTGTCAAAGTGGTAATAACTCCTGGACATTAGAGATCACATTGGTTTGCTTCTTAGGAACTTAACCCCTTAACCTAAACTAAAATGCATTTTTATCTGTAATCATCTACTGTGATGTGAGCTTGTGCGATGATTTCTCATGAAATGACTTGACGTGATCTAAAATAAATGATGTATTAGAACATTATGTCACTTACTTCTTGTAAATGATCAAATAATTTTAGTAACACTGTATTTTATTTGAAAGGGAATTCATTTATTTATTTACCTAAATCGGCAAATATGTTTGGACAACATAACCATTTATATTTCAAAAGTTCATGAGATACCAACTGCATAACACCGTCAACGAGTGCAAATCATGTTCAGTCAGTCAGTGGGTCTGATAAACTTTTCATTCATCCATGTAACGTACGTGTATGTAATTTGTTTTTAAACGAACAGTGACAGTGGGAAAAGTATTTGCGCTTTCGTGGATAACAGCTAAAACATTAACACAACATAAAAGGGTATATTGGAAAATGCTAGCCATACTTGTGGTAAATATAACACCGTTCTTATCATATAATCAATGTCAATTTGACACATGGAACATGAAGGATGCAAATTGTGTGAAGTTATACCTAGTCTAATATATAGAACTGGTTCCTAGTTAATCACAGACGGCTTTTGGAAAAACACTTACTTTAAACATTATCCCAACTTATATAAATGTATGCAAGTTTATGTAATTCGTAAACATCATCAGACACTAGAAACATACAGTTTGGGTAATGGTTGTGTCGCTTTTCTTCCTCATGAGGCTGAACCGAAATGAATAGGATCGCCGC